CTGCTTGCATATTACCCTTTTATTATATAGGACTAGAGGCCCGGTGCACAAAATTCGTGCACTGGGGGGTGGGGTTCCCTCAGCCCAGCCTGCCCCTTTCACAGTCCAGGAGCCCTCAGTGGATGTCCTACTGATGGCCACAGTCTGGCAGCAGAGGCTCGGAGCAGGCGTCCTGTGTGTGTGTGTGTGTGTGTGTGTGTGTGTGTGTGTGTGTCTCTGCTGGGGCCTGCCCCCAGCCACACCATGGAGGCTTGGAGCAGGAGCCCCTCTGTGTTGATCTCACAGGCTCCTGGCCTCCACTGCATGTTGTATTCCCCCTTGAGCTATGGCCAGGATGGGGGTGCTGCTTGCAAGCCGAGCTTTCCTGCTCCCGGATCCCCATGGCGACCGGGGAGCAGGCCAGGCTTGCTTTCCTGCTCCCGGATGACCATGGCGACCGGGAAGCAGGGGAAGTTTGGGGCTGCCCGCAGGCTGGGCTTGCTTTCCTGCTCCCGGATCCTCATGGCGACCAGGGAGAAGGCACAGCTGGGGGCTGCCCGCAGGCCGGGCTTGCTTTCCTGCTCCCGGATCACCATGGCAACTGGGGAGCAGGCAAAGTTTGGGGCTGCCCGCAGGCTGGGCTTGCTTTCCTGCTCCCGGATCAGGCGCAGCTGGGAGCTGCCTACAGGCCACACTTTTCTACTTACCAATGGCCGGATCACCACAGTGACCCAGGGCCCAGCGGCACTTTCCTGCTCTCCAATATTCATAGGGTCCCGGCTGGGGGTGGGGCTTAGGTGGCACGGGGGTCCCGGCTGGGGGCTCAGGTGGTACACAGGGGTCCCGGCTGGGGGCGGGGCTTATGCCCCGCTGCCCAGGGCTGCACATGGGGCCTGGATGGCAGCTCGCGCTGTCCCGCTCTGCCTGTAGTATAGGATAGAGGCCTGGTGCACGAGTGGGGGCTGGTTTGCCCTGAAGGATGTCCGGATCAGGGTGGGGGTCCCGCTTGGGTGCCTGGCCAGCCTGGATGACGGGCTGATGGCTGTTTGCAGCTGGTCACACCCCCTTTAGGGTGGGGGTCCCCACTGGGGTGCCTGGCCAGTCTGGGTGAGGGCCTGAGAGCCGTTTTCAGGCTGGGGGCAACTTAAGCTCCCAGCCTCTCCTTGTTTTCTTTTTTTTTTTAATTCTGGGATTTATTTACCATCTATAGCTGTCACTGGAGCTGAGAGCCGGCTCCAGCTCTGAGGGCTGAAAGCAGGTTTCTGGGTCTGTTTGGCTTCTATAATTGAAACTCTGTTGCCATCACAGCAGCTCTAAGCTCTGAGGCCGAAGCTGGCTGAAAGTAGGGCTCTGGAGCTTGTTTAGCTTCTATAATTGCAACATAGTTGCTTAGAATGCAGCTCAGAGGCTGGCAGCGGCAGGCCGGGAACGTTGGCTTCCTCCGTCACTGGAGCAAGCAAGCCACCTGTTCGCTTCAGCTGCGTGGCTGCCGGCCGCCAATCTGGTTGGCAGTTAATTTGCATATCCTGCTGATTAGCCAATGGGAAGGGTGTCAGGGTTATGGTCAATTTGCATGTTTCTCTTTTATTAGGATTTCCAGTAGACTAGCAAAGTGAACTTAAGATGTGAGGCAACAATATCTTCTCTATTCTTCCTGTTTTCACATAAAAGCAATCAGATGAACTGAAGGGGGATTTTTTTTTTTAAGTTAAACTTACGGGAGTATGGAGAAAATTGGGAATAGAATAAAGTCACTGAGAGTAATTATAATAATAGCAAATGTTTGTTGAGTATTTGCTATGGACCAGACACTGTTGAGTATCTTGCATCCATTAACACATTTAATTTTCATGATAACTTTTTTAGCTAAGGACAATATATTTTAAATTTGAGAAAACTGAGGCTTAGAGAAGTTAAGTAAGGTAGCCTATTAGCAATTAGGAATAATTAGGAGGCTGTTATAATAATTAAAAGCAAGAAATTATAAGGGTCTGACCTAAATTAGTAAGATGGAACTAATGAAGCTTATTGAATGGCTATATAGAGAATATAAAAAAGAAGGGAGTCAAGAATAACCTCTAGGCATCTGGATCAGAAGGTGGATGATTTTTAATCAAAGTAAGGAACAGTTTTGATAGTGGAAATGTTAGGAGACACTGTGTTAAGTTGCCAGTATAAGGCATGTTACTTGCCTGTGGGACTTGTCAGTGGATCCCCTGCTGTACTCTTGCCCACCTACAGTCTCTCCACAAAGAATTCCTCTTCATGGCCTTCAAGGCCGTACCTTCCTTACTTTGTTGCATACAGCTCTTTCTCTTATGTAATATGCCTTAGACATATAGGCTTTATACTTTGCCCAAGTCTTAAGTTTCTTCCTGTCTTAGGGTCATTTCACTGTAATGTTCTTTGCCAAGATTTTGTCATAACTTTTCCTCTTCTTGATATTCACTCCTTGGTCAGATATCACCTCCTCAGAGAAGCTTTTCCTGAGTACCCCTTTTCCATGCCTCCTAACAACCCTCTGCCCCATTGCCTCCCACCCCAAACACCTCATTGCACTTAATTCCAGCCCCAAATTGTGTTTGTCTATAACTTAATTGCTTATTTAGCAGGAAATGAATTCTGTCCAACATTATCAACAAAAAGAAAGATATTTTTGGAAGGATACTAGGCACTAATCATCCTATCTAATAAAAGAGAAACATGGTAATTAGCGTACGACCGCTACCCTTCCCATTGGCTAATCAGGGAGATATGCAAATTAACTGCCAGCCAAGATGGCGGCCGGCAGCCAGGCAGCTGGAAGGGAACATGAGGCTTGCTTGCTTCAGTGACGGGGGACTCCAACGTTCCCCGCCTGCCTTGCCGGCCTCTGAGCTTGCAGTTTGAAACATTCTTACAAATATAGAAGCTAAAAAAAAACCCCAGAAACCTGCTTTCAGCCAGCCGGGATCTCAGAACTGGAGTTGATACAGTGTTTCAATTATAGAACACAAACAAGCCAAATACCTGCTTTCACCAACAGAGGCCTCAGAGCTGGAGCCAGAGCTAAAGCTGGCCCAGAATAAAAGAAAAAAAGGAGCGGTTGGGAGCTTCAGTCACCCGCCAGCCTGAAAACAGCCCTCAGGCCCTCACCCAGACTGGCTAGGCACCCCAGTGGGAACCCCCACCCTGAAGGGTGTGTGACCAGCTGCAAACAGCCATCATCCCCTCACCCAGGCTGGCCAGGCACCCCAGTGGGGACCCCCACCCTGATCCAGGACACCCTTCAGGGCAAACCAGCCATCCCCACCCATGCACCAGGCCTCTATCCTATACAGTAAAAGGGTAATATGCCTCCCAGCACCGGGATCAGTGGAGCCGAGAGGCCTCCTGGTACCGGGATCAGTGTGACAGGGAGCAGCGCCCAAACCCCCTGATTGCCCTGTGGCTCTGTGTGTGACAGGGGGCGGGGCCACAACCTCCCTATCCGCCCTGCTCTGTTCATGACAGGGGAAGGTGCCCCAACCTCCTGATCAGCCCTGCTCTGTGCCTGATACGGGGGAGCTCCCCAACCCCCTGATCGCCCTGCGGTTCTGTGTGTGACAGGGTGCGGCGCCCCAACCCCCCTCTCCCCCCACGGGCCCTGCTCTGTGTGTGACAGGGTAGAGCCATAACCTCCCCATCAGCCCTGCCCTGAGTGTGACAGTGGCGGCGCCCCAACCCCCTGATCAGCCCTGCTCTGTGGGTGATAGAGGGCGGCACCCCAACCCCCTGATCCGCCCTGCTCTGTGTGTGACAGGGTAGAGCCATAACCTCCCCATCGGCCCTGTCCTGAGTATGAGAGTGGCGGCGCCCCAACCCCCTGATCAGCCCTGCTCTGTGGGTGATAGAGGGCGGCGCCCCAACCCCCGATCCGCCCTGCTCTGTGTGTGACGGGGGCGGTGCCCCAACTCCCTTATCGGCCCTACTCTGTGAGTGACAGGGGGGAGCTCCCCAACCCCCTGATGGGCCCTGCTCTGTGCCCGACGGGGGAGCTCCCCAACCCCCTGATGGGCCCTGCTCTGTGCGTGACGGGGGATGGTGCCGCAACTTCCCCATCGACCCTGCCTTGAGTGTGACAGGGGACGGTGCCCCAACCCCCCAATCGGCCCTACCCTGAGCGTGACTGAGGGCGGCATTGCAACCTCCCAATCTGCCCTGCTCTGTGCATGACAGGGGGCGGCGCCCCAACTCCCCAATCAGCCCTGCTCTGAGCCCAACCAGGGACTGCACCTAGGGATTGGGCCTGCCCTCTGCCACCCGGGAGCAGGCCTAAGCCAGCAGGTTGTTATCTCCCGAGGGGTCCCAGACTGCGGGAGGGCACAGGCCGGGCCGAGGGACCCCCCTTCTCCCCCGAGTGCACAAAAATTTGTGCACTCGGGCCTCTAGTCTAGATTATAAATTCCATGAGAGCAGGGACTGTGTATAGCCAGTGGTCAGCAAACTGCGGCTCGCAAGGCACATGCAGCTCTTTGGCCCCTTGAGCGTGGCTCTTCCACAAAATTTCGACTTCTGCGCATGGGCCACGAAGTTTCAATTGCACTGTACATGCATGCCTGCACGTGGTATTTTGTGGAAGAGCCACACTCAAGCGGCCAAAGAGCCGCATGTGGCTCGCGAGCCACAGTTTACTGACCACTGGTGTATACCATCCAGACATAAGGACATTCCCCATAGTGTATGTAAACCAATAAGTATGTATTGAAAGATTTAAAAATCCTGTATGTGAACTCAGCATGACTTATCAAACCACTTTAAGTCCATTTTAACTTGCAGCAAGCCACAAAATGTGAATTAATACATGTCATAAAAATTCACAATTAGTAAACCTTAAACTTCTATAAAGAATTTACCCCCAGTGATCCCATTGCAAAACCTGCCATCTGTTTAGTAACAGATTTTTAGAATTGGAAAACCTGGATGCACTTTTTTAACTTGAGGAAAAAAATTCATCTTTGATAATTGCAAATTTCTAAGCTTTGTCTTTTCTTACCTTAAAGGCTCAATCTCAAGATATAGTTCCAACAATAGGATTCAGCATAGAGAAATTCAAATCATCCAGGTAATTCACTTTGTTATATTTGTGACTAAGAAGCTGTGGGTAAAAATGATAATATTAGATCTTTCTAGTCATTCCTCCTATTCTTAGAAAAAGTACCTTGTTTTTTTCAGGAGTCCATAGGTGTTAAAATATTTATACCAATTCCTCTGGATTATTTTTTAGAATTTAGACTTCAGACAAATGTTGATAACCTCACTAGCAAAGAAAACATTTTTTTTATGTTACTCATTACAAAATCATATTTCTATTCAACAAATTTATTTTATAGCATTTGTACTTGAAAATTGGCCCAAGTTGAATATTGTATATTTAAAAATGACTTCTTTTTTCTTTTTTTTTTAAGATTTTTTATTGATTTTTAGAGGGGGAGGGAAAGAGAGAAAAAAACACCAATGTGAGAGCAGAACATTGATCAGCTGCCTCCTGCACGCCTTCTACCAGGGACTGAGCCCACAACCAGGACGTGTGTCCTGACTGGGAACCGAGCCAGAACCCTTCAGGGCATGGGAGGGCACCCACCCAATTGAGCAACACTGGCCAAGGCTCAAGAGTGGTTTCTTTTATTGAAAGCAATTTAAAAGTTTAAGTAAAAGTTACACTTTAAAGTTAGTAGCTTATAATATAGTCATGGTTTTTTTGTTGTTTTATTTTTTTTAGTTTGTCTTTTACAGTGTTTGACATGTCAGGCCAAGGAAGATATAGAAACCTCTGGGAACACTATTATAAGTAAGTATAATCGTGAATGTTGGGTATGTCATAATAACAAATAATGATTAGAAATCCAAGTGATCACATGGGCTGGGTTGCAGTGTTTATTTTTTATATACTAGTGCATTTTCTAATTTTATTAAAAGGACAGTCATACTTCACATTATTTCTCATATGCATGAAATCTTTTATAACTTTGGGCTTTTGCATGTGTTCTTCTCCCTCTCTCTCTCTTTTTTTTTTTTAAGAATAGTTTATTGGCCCAGCTGGCGTGTCTCAGTGATTGAGCATTGACCTACGAACCAGGAGGGGAGGTCAGGGTTTAATTCCCAGTCAGGGCACATGCCCAGATTGTGGGCTCCATCCCCAGGGCAGCGTGCAGGAGGCAGCCAGTCAGTGATTCTCTCTCATCATTGATGTTTCTATCTCTCCCTCTCCCTTCCTCTCTGAAATCAATAAAGATACATATATTTTTTAAAAATTGTTTATTGCCCTAGCTGGTTTGCTCAGTGGATAGTGTATCAGCCTGCGGACCAAAGGGTCCCAGATTCAATTCTGGTCAAGAGCACATACCTTGGTTGCAGGCTCTTCCCTAGCCTGGGCCCTGGATGGAGCTCATACAGGAGGCAACCAATTGATGTGTCTCTCTCACATCGATGTTTCTCTCTGTCTTTTCTTCTCTCACTCTCCCTAAAAATCAATGAGGAAATATCCTCGGGTGAGGATTAACAAAACAAACCAAAAAAATAGTTTATTGGTTTTTTAGAGAGAGAGGAAGGGGCAAGAGAGAAACATGGATGTGCAAGCATAACATTGATCGGCTGTCTCCAGCACGCCCCCTACTAGAGATCCAGCCTTCAACCCCGGCATGTGCCCTGACTGGGAATCAAACCAATGACCTCTTAGTGCCACGGGTGATGCTCAACCAACTGATCCACACCAGCCAGGACTGGTCTGTTTTCAACACCTAGTTCTACTATACTCTGCTGCTTAAGGTTAATATAGTCATACTTTAAGGCAGGGGTAGGGAACCTTTTTCTGCCAAGGGCCATTTGGACATTTATAACATCATTCACAGGCCATACAAAATTATTAACTTAAAAATTAGCCTGCTATATTTGGTCAGACATTTAATTAACTCACCCCCTCATGCCTTGACAGGGCCAGACCAAATGATTTCCTGAGCATTATTCAGCCTGCAGGCCGAATTCCCTACCCTTGCGTTAAGGACTTGCTCAAAAGTCCCCTCCTCTATGGAATTTCACTATTTTGCCCAGTTATTCTGTCCCAGTGCTCACACAGTAGTTTCACATCTCTGTAATCACACTTACTACATCTTAAAGTCTCGTGAACTCCTCTTCAAGGGCAGGCATTATTTTTCCTTCAGATTATTTCAAGGCCAAGTATAATGCTGGGTGTATGCGTCAGTAAATAGTTATTGAATAAATTTAGTTAAAATAACAGTACTCTTGACCCATTTGTTCTATAAGCAATTCTAAAGATATTTGTCAGCATATGCAAATCAAGCACTTGCTACTCACATTAGATTAACAGCTGTCAAGTTACTAGCATCCAGATGTGTTACACCCTCTCAGGGTTTCTATTCAGTGTTAAAATGAATTCATTAACTTCTAATATTACTAGGACTCTTCATTTAAAGGCAGTATAACTCACTTTTAGAATCTGAAACTTGTAAGCAATATATCTTGACTAAATGCCTCTTATGAATACTTGCCTTGAAATGGTGTGTGATGACTGCCAGATCAGATTTTGATTTAGATTGGTTAATTTTTCCTGCTAATATGAGAACAGACATTTTATTTCTCAGATAGGAACCCAGAAGATTTACTTCAGATATTTTTTCAATGAATATTTTAATAGATTGAAGTCCTCTTTAAATCAAATATTGATCCAGAGGACTCTGAGGTAGAGGGAAAAGTGTATTTCAGATCTGAGGGTCAATTTGGAAAAGGGAAAGTGGCATGTGTGGTATCTTGCATTAAATTTCCTGGGGAAATGTGAGTTACTTTATTTTATTTTTTTTTTTTAAGAAACCCTGAGTTTTCAGTATAGAAATTTTAATTCCTGCTCCAATTAGTGGTTTTAGAAAAATTCTTTTTAAAATTAATGTATTTTCCCTGGCCAGTGTGGCATAGTTTGTTGGGCGTCATCCCATGTACCAGTGAGGACACATGCCCAAGTTGCAGGCTTAATCCCGAGTAGGGGGCATGCAGGAGGCAGCCAGTCGATATTCCACTCTCGTATCGATGGTTTTCTCTAAATAATAAATAAAAATATTTTTAAATAAATAACAATTACATATTTACTTTAGCTACTTTTTAAAAATAATTTTTATTCTAATTACTTTATAAAAAATAAAAAAATACGTAGAAAATAGTAAAAACAAGGTAACTTTTTTTTATTTTAACTCCCTTCAAAATTTTTTTGGAAGAAGTTACTGGATTCATGAATATTATAGATAAATTGTAGGTTAAATAGTGAAATGGTTACTATTGAGTTTACAAAAATAGTAAATTTATTTTTTGTGTCTCTATACTTTTCTGATTATTAGAGAACAAGTGCATTTTGAGCTATTAGACTAAAAGATATAAAAGATTGTTTTTGAAATATACAATTTACACTTTACATAATTGAGGAAGGAGCCTTCTAATATTATACACTATACATACTTTTTGTCCTTCTTTTTCAGTTGACATTCTATAAGGGAAATCAGGAGAAACACACAAAGATTGTAACTCTAATGGCTGCCTATTATTATTCATATACTTGCGCCAAAATTTGCTCAATCGTTTTTTTATTTGGGTAGGAAGGCTATTCTCAGTTTTTGAAGATTATAAACAATCCCTCAATTAACATCTTAGTGCATAAATCTTTGTCACGCTTTGTTTTTCCATAGAGAAATAGCAGAAATAAAATTACTGTCTCAAAGTGATTGACTGTCTTTAAAGCTCTTGAAAGATATTTCTAGTTGTACCAGTGTAGTATATGACTGTGATAATCTGCATTTATTTTTTTAAGTGACAGGAGAAAGTGGTATTCAAAAGTTGTGTTAGCCCAGCCGGTGTGGCTCAGTGGTTGAGCGTCGACCTGTGAACCAGGAGATCAGGGTTTGATTCCCAATCAGGGCACATGCCCGGTTGTGGGCTCGATCCCTAATGTGAGGCATGTAAGAAGCAGCCGATCAATGATTCTTTCTCATCATTGATGTTTCTATCTCTCTGTGAAATAATACAAATATATATTTTTAAGTATTTTTTAAAAGTTGTTTTAGTTTTATATTTATGTGATTAATAATGATATTGAACTTTAAAATTTTAATTTATGACTGAATAAGAGATTGACAAAAAAATATCAATGTCCCATAAATATATGAAAAGTTATTGAACTTCACTAGCAATTCATGAAATACAAAGTAAAATAATATACTGTTAGAATTGCAAAAATTGAAAAGAATGATAAGGACCATGCTGAAAGAGGGTAGGAAAAATGCTGGGAGTAGTATACATTGATATAGCATTTCTGAAGGGCAGTTTATCAATGTTTATCTAAAACTTTAAATTTTATATATACTCCTAGAAATTTTATTCCTAAGAACAGATCTTTAAAATGTTAAGAAATTATAAAATGTATTTAGAAGAATGCTTATCTTGAAGTTTTTCATAATTATGAAAATTAAAAATAACCTGTAAGTCCAATGATAGAAGATTGACAATATTTGATAGCACATCATGCAATGGAATACTTTACAACTATTAAAAGAAGGGGTGAGGAGGGAAATCAGTGATTTTTGAAGTGCCACTGTGATCTGTAAGTGAACTCTTAAACTAGTTCAGTGATTAGCTATCAGCTTAAAAAATAAAATAGAGTAAAATAAAAAGCTATTTGTAAGTATTGTTTCAGGGGACCTATTTCAAATATATTTACATATAGTTATGTGTCTGTTGCATCTTAATGTAAAATGTATGTCTCACTATGGTTATGGTAAAAATTATTTGAGAAACACTAGTGTAGAGCTTTAATGTTTCATATAAAAGTGGTTCAAATTATACAGTGAAAAAGGTCAATGTACATATATATCAAAAAGGCAGTGTATAAAACAGGAGGATTCCATTTGTATGATGTAGATATTCACATGTGACTATACACAGTGTCAAAATTGATTTACACAAAAAATTAATAATGGTTATATCTGTGTAATGGGTTGTGGTTTTACTTGTAATTTTTTTAAATTATGAACTAACAAGTCATTAAATTTACCCTATTATCATCTAAGTGAAAAGAACTTATGTTATAACCACTAATGATTAATATATTAATCACTCATATGAACTAATAAGAAACAGTACCAAAGCCTATAATGATAAATGCACATAGGATATGAAGAGATAATACACAGGTTACGACATGCAAATGGAGAGCAAACATGGGAAATTGGGTAAGTTTATCTTATAATTTTTGTCATTCTTTATATTATACAGAGATGGACAAGCCATTATTTTTGTCATTGATAGTAGTGATAGATTAAGAATGGTTGTGGCCAAAGAAGAACTTGATACTCTTCTGAATCATCCAGGTATGTGTGTGTGTATGTGTGTGTGTGTGTGTGTGTGTGTGTGTGTGTGTATGTTTACATAGGATGTTTTGTCTTTGGTGTTGGCAAAAAGTATTGCCTGCACTATACAATTAACTTTTCTTAAAAACTTTATGCATAACTCATAATATCTTTAGCTATAGCACCATATGTTTTTTAAATTGCAAAGCTTTTTGCAGTGTTTTTCAGGTCGGTGATATTTATTTTCCCCCAAATAAAAACATCCTTTTTTCTGATTGTATAAATAACTAGAGGCCTGTTGCACGAAGAGATTCTTGCAATAGGCCTTCCCTTCCCTTGGCTGCTGGCACCAGTTTTCCTCTGGCACCCGGGACCCAGGCTTTCGCACTGGCTGGGCTCTGGCCAGAGCCCCGCCCCCCAGGCATCACGCCTCCCGGCTCCACTGATCCCGAGCCATGAGGACTCTCGACTCTGCCGATCCTGGGGCTGTGAGGACTCGCGACTCTGCCGATCCTGGGGCCATGAGGCCTCTTGGCTCCGCTGATCCCAGGGCCATGAGGCCTCCCGGCTCTGCTGATCCCGGGGCGTGAGGCCTCTCTGCTTGGCAGGCTTTGGGTACGTTTGGCTTCGCTCCACCACTTGGAGCCTAGTATGCAAATTAACCGCCATCTTTGTTTGCAGTTAATTTGCATATTGCCCTGATTAGCCAATGGGAAGCGTAGCGAAGGCACAATTACCCTTTTTGACTTTTATTAGATAGGATATGTGTCAATAGCAAATTATGCAGATAGAAAGAAAAAATAAGGAAGAAAGTAAAAATCCATATATCTCAATACTTATCGAAATGATTTTGGTTGCCATCTTTTCATGCATGTATGTATGCAAGTATGTGCAATCACAGCATTTCTTACATATTTATTGTGGGAACTCTTTTAAAAATTCTTTCAAGATATCAATATTAATCATTCGGTATTTTTCTTTCAATTATATATGCCATACCATACATCTATATCTACTATTTATATGACACGCACACAGGCACCAAAAATAGATTGAATTGGGGCAAAAGTAGATTTACAGTTGTGGGTACTCAAAACAGTTTATTCTTATATTACTAGAGGCCCGATACATGAAGATTCGTGCAAGAATAGGCCTTCCTTCCCCTGGCTACCAGCACCGCCTTTGCTCCGGCCTGGAGCCACCTCCCACCTCTCGCCTTGTCACATCAACTTGCATATTCCCTCCTTATTGGCTGTGGGCCCTGCCATCTTCATTGTGAAGTGGCAGTTAATTTGCATATTACTCTTTAATTAGATAGGATTATTTATTAACTAGAGCAGTGATGGCAAACCTTTTGAGCTCAGCGTGTCAGCATTTTGAAAAACCCTAACTTAACTCTGGTGCTGTTTGTCACATACACAAATTTTTTGATATTTGCAACCATAGTAAAACAAAGACTTATATTTTTGATATTTATTTTATATATTTAAATGCCATTTAACAAAGAAAAATCAACCAAAAAAATGAGTTTGCGTGTCACCTCTGACATGCATATCATAAGTTCACCATCACTGAACTAGAGGCCAGGTGCATGAAATTCATGCACAGGTAGGATCCCTAGGCCTGGCCAGCAATCAGGGTTAATCAGGGCCTTTCTTCCAGCTGCCAGCCAGGGCCTTCCTTCATTCCTCGCCGCCCCCTGGTGGTCAGTGCACGTCATAGCGAGCAATCGATCGCCCGGTCTCCCTGTCAAACTCCCGTGGGGACACTTTGCATGTTAGCCTTTTATCTATATAGATTATTGTATTTCCATACAAACAACTGTAAACCTACTTTTGTCCCACCCTGTGTAGGGTTGGGGACTATGAGGATTGTCATTGTTATTTACTAAAATGGGATTATATTTTATACACTTTTCTGCATCTTTCCATTCTCAAGTAACACTAATAATGGAAATCTTTTCAAATCAGATTGCATATATTACATCTAATTATTTTTTAATAGTGTCTAATATGCCATTCTATGAGTGAATCACAGTTTATTTACCTCTTGATGGATATTCTTTCTTTTTTTCACACTACAATGTTCTAGTATGTATTGTGGAACTCAACATTTCTAGCCTTACTCAAGCCTGGAAAAAAAATTTTTTTTAATCTTTATTGTTGAAAGTATTAGTTATGTCCCTCATTTTCCCCCACTGATCTCTTCAAGTCTTCCCTGCCACCTGCCCCAGGCCTTCACCACCCTATTGTCTGTGCCCATGGATTATGCATATATGCATACAAGTTCTCTCTTTTTGTAATGTATTTTTATTGATTTCAGAGAGGAAGGGAAAAGGAGAGATAGAAACATCGATGATGAGAGAGAATCACTGATCGGCTGCCTCCTGCACACCTCCCACTGGGGACTAAGCCCACAACCCGGACATGAACCCTGACCAGGAGTCGAACTTTGACCTCCTGGTTCATAGGTCAACACTCAACCACTGAGCCATGCCACCTGGGCTGCATACAAGTTCTTTGGTTGATCTCTTCCTACCTACTCACCCCTGTCCCTTCCCTCTGAGATTCCACAAGAAAAAAAATTTTTTAAGTGGTCTTTGTGCTAGGACTTTTAGAGAAGCATGGTTGTTTAAAGGAAGTATGGATATGTTTAGAAATGAATCAGAAATAGTGTGGTGTGCCTTCTAACAATTCTTGCTGTTTAACCCCAATACCTTTGGTATCTTTATCACACAATCTCAAGCTTATTCAGATATTTTTTAGGGAAATTATCCAGCCTTACTCTTTATGTGACTTTTTCACTTAAAAAAATTATTGGTCTTTTATATGGGTTGGGAATACATTTTTTTTCATCTTTATTATTGAGAGTATTACAGATGTTTGTCTTTTTTCACCCTCATCACTCCCTTCCACCCAGTTCCCAACCCACCCCCGACCTTCACTGCCCTATTGTTTGCGTCCATAAGTAAAGCATAAATGCATATGTTCTTTGGTTAATCTCTTACCACCTCCTGCCTTCCCTCTGAGATTTATTAGTCTATTCCATGCTTCCATGCCTCTGGTTCTATTTTATTCATTAGTTTATTCTGTTCATTAGATTCCTTTTTCGTTTAGTTTGGTTTTTAGATTCAATTGTTGATGATAGATACCTATTTATTGCCATTTTATTGTTCATATTTTTTTTATCTTTTTCTTCTTCTTAAAGAATACCCTTCAACATTTCATATAATACTGGTTTGGTGGTGATGAACTCCTTTAGCTTTTTCTTGTCTGTGAAGCTCTTAATCTGGCCTTCAATTCTAAATAACTTTACTGAGTAGAATTATCTTGGTTGTAGGTCTTTGCTATTTATCACTTTGAATATTTCTTGCCCCTCCCTTCTGGCCTGCAAAGTTTCTTTTGAGAAATCAGCTGACAGTCATATGGGCGCTCCCCTGTAGGTTACTAACTGTTTTTCTCTTGCTGCTTTTAAGACTCTGTGTATTTAACTTTTGGCATTTTAATTATGATGTGTCTTGGTGTGAACCTCTTTGGGTTCCTCTTGTTTGGGACTCTCTGCACTTCCTGACTTGTAAGGCTATTTTTTCCCCTACCAGGTAGGGGAAGTTTTCTGTCATTATTTCTTCAAATAGGTGTTCAATATCTTGCTCTCTCACTTCTCCTTCTGGCACCCCCATGATGTGAATGTTGGTACACTTGAAGTTGTCCCAAAGGCTCCTTACACTATCTTCATATTTTGGATTTTTTTTTCTTTTTGGTCTTCTGCCTGTGCCCTGCCTGGGGGCTCACAGCACAACCTATAGAGTGATCTGCAGATGGCTTCTACTTATGTTTGGCTTGAAGGTGCCCAGGAATGACGAAGCTGTGAAGCAAGACAGGCTGGTGCTAGTGCCAGGTCTTGGGCCTCTTATTGCGAGATATGGGGTATGCTGGCGCCAGCTGCTACATGTTTGAAAGATTTTAGGAAAATCTAAAGCCTGAGCCAGAACAGGCCATTCCTTCTTTTCCCTGATTTGAGGATTTTTTTCTTTGTCACTAATTTTTGACAGCTTCATTACCAAGTGCCTTGGAGAGGGCCTCTTTGGATTGAGGTAACTAGGTGTTCTGTTTGCTTCTTAGATTTGAGGATCTAGTTCTTTCCATAGATTTGGGAAGTTCTCATCCACTATTTGTTTTAATAGACTATTCCATGCTCTCGCTCTCTCTTCCTCCTCTGCTTTCCTATGATTCTAATGTTAATTTTTTTATGGAGTCAGGGAGGTCTCGTAGGGCTATTTTGTATTTCTTTATTCTCAGGTCTCTCTCTTCTTCCCTCTGCATCATTTCTTGATTCCTGTCTTCAATATCACTGGTTCTTTTCTCTAACTGGTTGGTTCTGTTCTCTATGATCATTAGCTCACTCTTAATTTCTTGCTTCATTTCCAGGATTTCTGCTATATTCTTTTTTTAATTCAATTTCTTTGGAGAAATACTCATTTTGTTCATTGATTTGTTTTCTGAGTGAGCTGAATTCCTTGTCAGTATTTTCTCACATCTCTGAGTATTTTCAGAACTGCAATCTTGAAATCTGTCATTCAACTCATATAATTCCATGTGTTCCAGCCTGTTTTCTGGGGATTTTTCATTTTCTTCCTGGTCATTGTTGTGGTGGTGGTTCATGGTGTTCACTGTTCTCTTTTGTTGTCCCATTTATCTCTGAGGAGGCGTTTCTACTCTGTTCCAGTAGATGGCGCTGAATTGTAAGATTTTTATCCTCTCTGGCCTCACAGTTTTGAGCCTCTGTAGCTTCCTTAGGGCTGTACCACCTTGGCTGCTTGGGGGTGAAGTTTGTTTTTCCTTCACAGTAATGATGACCCCTGACCTCCACAGGTCCAGCCCAAGCACCCCTTCTGGGGTTCAGTCACAGAGGGAAACTGTGTTTCTGCTGCAACAGCTCTTGGCCTACAGATAATACGCTCCTGGAGCCAATTTCAAGGGCAACAGGAAGTGAGATTTGGGAGTGCAATCAGTGCCAGGGCT